AGGCACTTATCCACAAATTCAGACATCTCAACACTCGGGAAGTTACCCACAGACACAGACAGCTCAACAACCAGGCAGTTATCCGCAGACGCAGACGCCTCAGCAGGCAACCAATTATCCACAGACGCAGACACCTCAGCAACCAGTCAATTATTCGTCGCCCCATACTCCTCAACAATCAGGCACTTATCCACAGACGCAGACGCCCCAACAAGCAGGCAGTTATCCTCAGTCTCTGACACCCCAACCTCAACAGGCAGCCAATTATCCGCAATCTTCAACACCTCAACAGGCAGCCAGCTATCCACAGGCTTTAAATAGCCAACAGACAGCCAGCTATCCGCAGACACAGACATCTCAACAGCCAGCCAGTTATCCGCAGACACAGACATCTCAACAGCCAGCCAGTTATCCACAGGCACAGACATCTCAACAGCCAGCCAGTTATCCGCAGTCGAGCCAGCAGTCACAAAACGGAGCTTATCCGGCTGCGACACCTGTGCTTTATCCCTCACAAGCAGCAGCTCAACCAACAGCTCAGCCCACGCCTACCGCCGCTTCAGCGCCCACACAATACCCAGTGGGCAGCGCTGTCCCCGGCATTGAGGCGAACAACTATTTGGGCTACTCCAATCATCCGGGCTACAGCTTCAATCCGCAGACAGGATTATTCGAGTACAGCAGCGGCTATCAGCATGACACCAATAGCATTCCAAAGGCCACGCATGGCTTTGGCCAGTTCACACAAAGCGGACAGCAGGCGGCGATTGTGGGCACCACAGACTCGGAGCAGGCCAATCGCAGCAGCTTGGCCACGGGCTTTGATGTGAGTAGGAGTAAAATTCTAAGGAAAACCTTTGCTGATATTTTCTCATTTCATTTAATATAGTCGCCCATTGTTTCACATGTAAAGGCCACAAATGAAGCCCAGGCGACAGGTCCATCAGCTGATGCTATCAATTATTATACGCCCCCATATGGCTATCATTCATCTGGTGGCTCAAACACACTCCAACAACAGCCACAACAGCAGCAGCAGCAGCAACAACAACCGCAGCAACAGCCACAGCAGCAGCAACCACAACAACAACCTGTTGCAACGGCTGGAGCCACCACCACCACCAACAATCAAAAGTCMGCAATTTATATGCAGAGCGGCGGCAGCAGCATAGCCAACACCCAGACGACAACGAGCAGCGCTCCTTACGCCTCGTCCACATTGCCGGCGGCAACSAAGCCCACAGCCTCTGAAGCCAGCAATGTGGATTTGCTCAGTGATCTGGATTTGGATAGTGCGGGTGCTGTGCCGCTGCCGCTGCTGCAGCCGCAAATTGTGACAACTCCAACGCCGCCGGCTTCGGTGGTTGGTTCAGTGGCTGCTGGCGACTCCTCAGCAGATGCTGCGCCAGCAACAGCTGCCGTTGCTGATGCTACGGCTGG